TCACTTCTATGCGAATGACACGCAAATCTATCTGTCCTCTCCTGATCTCTCCTCGCCCCTTTTGACTAGTGCCTCTGACAGCCTCTCTGCTATTTCTAACAGGAAGGCTGCCCACTTCCTTAAGCTCAGCTTGTTCAAAACCAAACTTCTGGTCTTTCCTTCCTCAAGTGTTGCTATTCCCGTTTCTGTGTCCCTCCACGTTAATGGTGCTACCATCAGCTCCACCATGCAGGCTTGCTGCCTAGGTGTTCTCTTTGACTCCGACCTCTCCTTCACCCCTCATGTCCAGTCGATTGCCAAATCCTGACGCTTTCATCTTAAAAACATTGCGCGCATCCGCCCCTACTTAACGCCAGATGCGGATAAGGTGCTAGTCCTTGCCACTGTCCTCTCTCACCTTGACTACTGCAATCCGCTTCTCAGTGGTCTTACGTGTTCCCAACTTACCCCACTGCAGTCTATAATGAATGCGCCGGCGAGGCTCATCTTCCTGTCCACCCGCACCTCCCACGCCTCACCCCTCTGTCAGTCCCTGCTTTGGCTTCCTGTAAAATATAGGGCTCAATATAAAATTCTGGTTCTTGCGTTCAAATCTCTACATAATGCTACTCCCACCTATCTATCCTCACTAATACACAATATGTCCCGTCTAGGCCCCTACACTCGGCCGAAGACCTGCGTCTTTCCTCTGTTTGTACTCCCACCTCTGATGCTCACCTTCAAGATTTCGCTATGGCTGCACTGTTCCTGTGGAACTCCCTTCCCTTTTCTATTCCGCTCACCTAGTCTCCACTCCTTCAAAAAATAACTTTTTCACAAAAGCATATCAGTTAAACTGTTAATGGCTCCACAAAAGCCCACACTAAGCCTTCATTGAATACTATTCTACCAATCTACTTCCCTAATACTTCCCTTACCTTTTGTGTCACTCTACCCCACTCCCTCTAGCATGTAAGCTCATTGAGCAGGGCCCTCAACCCCTCTGTTCCTGTGTGTCCAACTTGTCTAGTTACAACTACATGTCTGTTTGTCCACCCATTGTAAAGCGCTGCTGAATTTGATGGCTCTATATAAATAACATAATAATAATAATAATAATGTATGTACTATATATACATGCTTTCAAGTAATCTATCAAATAGTATGATGACACTGTGAACAAGTTGTAACTTTAGATAATTTGCCAAAGGACCCATTTCTTGTAGCACTGTGCCTAGCAAGGATGCTATGGCTCACAATTCATTCTCACTGAAAGAGGAGCCAGAGCTCGAGCACCGTTTGAAATTATATGAAGAATTTCACCCATACTACTTGGCTGTATCACAAACATTCCTAATAGAGTTCTTTTCTCTCCAGAGCAATCTTCATCTAGTTGGGACCCAGCAGCCTGACGGACCGTGCCGCGTTACATATAAACTGCGAGAATGAAGAAACCACAACAAGTATCATGACAAGGTATACTTAGAATTATATTCGTTGACATGGACTAATTAAGTCCCCTGAATTTCAGTTATTTCATATAAGAGCTGTGATCAAAATAAATATAAAAATAAAAAAAGCTACAATAAAACTTAGAAGCAGCTGTCATTTACCAGTTTTTGATATTATGTTTACACGTCCCACATATAAGAAGTAGAGCCTTCATCTGTCAATTACTGTCATAAGCTCCACACTTTTCTTTCTGTCTGACCCCTCCTCCAACGCAGTGCGTGTCCTGGCTATTCCAAGACGGAATTGAATTCTGGTTTCGATGTGTTAGGTGTATATTATAATTAGGGGCGTTTTACTTACTGTAACGCTCCTTCACCCTTGGAGCCATATCCCCACCTCTGTGCTACCCTCGCCATCTATGCCAGGCAGAATGTCAATGAATAAAATAGCCAGAAACAGGAACATGCCAGGTATTCAAAGTGATCCTGAATAGTCACATTATTTAGCAACAGAGAAGAGGTGAAATAACACTCTGCCCAACACAACTCCTTACTGTCACCAGGTGAGGATCCACGCCTACCCATCAGTAACTTTGAGGAGCACTATAATTGTGATCTTTTTATTTTGAAAAAAATATACCATATTATCCGACTGCCCCTCTACCATTTGTAGAGATTTGAGGTTAAAGGGACACTATAGTCACCATAACAACTTTAGCTTAATAAAGCAGTTTTGGTGTATAGATTATGCTTCTGAAATCTCACTGCTCAATTCTCTGCCATTTAGGAGTTACCGTATTTTCAGTGTATAAGACTGTTCTTTTTCGAATTTTTTTTTCTAAACTGCAATAATTACCTTGCAGTGTAAAGTCCTCCTCTAGTGGCTGTCTACCAGACAGCCACTAGAGGGACTTCTGGGTGCTTAGACGACTTTTGGTCATCTAAACGACACTGGACGTCTTCACGCTATCCTAATGCGAGCGCGGCCATTGCTGTGCATGTGCATTAGGTCTCCCCCGTCGGTAGGGGAGGAGCGTGGGCCGAGCTGAGCCAGCGCCAAGAGACATTGGCGCTGGACCCAGATAAGTGACTGAAGGGGTTATTAACCCCTTCAGCGAGTGGGCCTTGATAGAAGTGGAAGCTACAGTGCCAGAAAAATTAGTTTTAATAGAATTTTTTTTATTATTATTTGTAAACTGCAAATATATATATATTTTGTACTATCTCTGAAATGCATTTTTTGTAATTATACCCAGTCTTGCTACAACTATACTTGTTTGTTTGTTTACCTGTTGTGCCACATTGTAGAATATGTTAATGCTCTAGTAATAACAATTTACTGGAAAAAGATACTGCTGCAATAATGTAATAGGAGCTACAGCGAGAAACAGAAATTAAAAAGCATCTGTCAGCCATTCCAAATTTACATGTTTTTACACAGCAGAACACGGGTGGAATTCAAATTATGGTCAGTGAAAGGAAAATGAAAAGAAAATGCCCAGATGAAAATATACAAATGGCATGCTCAAGTCTGCTGCAATATGTCACAATATTCAGAATGTTAGTTCTGAACTCCAATGGGAATAATTACGAATTATAGGTAGAGGCAGAGAGGTAGCTAAGGCCAGATGTTTGGGAAAATCCATCGGGAGTAGGCAACCTTCAGCACTCTGGACCAAACTTCCTGCAATGTTATTACGGCCATGATGCTGGCAAAGCACCAGGGAATAGGTAGTCCACAACATCTGGAGTGCCGAATGGTGCCTACCCCTAGACAATTGTTGAATGGGTGATCTTTGAGGTAGAGTCACTCCATATATTGTTATAGCATCTAGACTAAGGGTGTCCAAAAGGTAGATACCCAGATGTTTTAAACCTCCAGCTTCCGTGATGCTTTGTCATTCTGTAGGCATTCAAAAGCCACGCAAAGCATCATGGGAGTTGTAGTTCTACAAAATCTGGAGTGCTGAATGGTGCCTACCTCTGTCCTAGACAATTGGTGACCATGTCTCTATATTGTTCTTATTTACCAATATCAATGTTTTTTTTAATTTTTGAATTGGCAGAAGAAATCTATTTTTAGTGCACTAGAATTTAAAGGAGCCAAACAAAAAATATGCCTTACCTTTGCTGGGTGGGGGTGTGGGGGGTGGGGTGGGACCGAATCATTGACCTCTTATAATATATATATATATATTTTTTCTTTCAGATTATTAAGTGAATTCTAGACAGATGAAGATGTATCCAGTCTAACTCTAGTTTGTTACCATCTTCATTGACAGTTACTGCAGATACCTGGACCTGCTTCTTTTTAAGGAAAATTACCTTGTAAATAGACAAAATCACAATCCTTAAGAAGAACTGTTATCCACACTTTAATTAAACCATCAGACACTTGGCAAAGTCAACACCTAAAAGTACTTGAAAAGTCACTGAATTTTTTTTTCTAACAATTAACTAACAACAAGAAAAAAATACGGATCAGGTTAATGTCATATCTGTCATTTATTAAAGAGGAATTGACACTTCCCAGGATTTTTAACACTAATTTTAATTATTCCTATATTTAATAAAAATATATATTTGTGAGGTGTGAAAAATAAAATTAAAAGTAGAAATCCTCACCTCTTTATTCTGCAACTGGGCGCCTCCATCTTAGCTCCCTGTCAATCAATAATTGTTATAAGCTCTGCCCTTTGTACCTGGCAGTCAGCACAGAGAGAGCCACCTCTATCTAAGCTCCCTGTCAATCATCATTATAAGCTCCGCCCTTTGTACCTGGCAGCACAGAAAGGGCCACCTCTATCTAAGCTCCCTGTCAATCATCGTTATAAGCTCCGCCCTTTGTACCTGGCAGCACAGAGAGAGACACTTCTATCTTAGCTCCCTGTCAATCATCGTTACAAGCTCCACCCTTTGTACCTGGCAGCACAGAGAGAGCCACTTCTATCTAAGCTCCCTGTCAATCATCGTTATAAGCTCTGTCCTTTGTACCTGGTAGTCAGCGTAGAGAGCGTATACAGAGAAACGATACGCTCAGGGCCGGCCTTAGGTGTTCAGGCGCCCTGTGCGAAACAATCTCATGCCCCCCTTTTCAACCCCCTGCTCCCCTTCATCAGCCCCCTTAATACATCCCATGCCAAATAATCCAACCCCTGGCCACCCCTTCATCAGTCCCCTGCCCCCTCATCAATTCCCTCCCACCTATTTATCAGCCATCTGCCCCCATTTCATCAGCCCCCTGATCTCCTCATCAATCCCCTCCCACTCCTTTATCAACCACCTGCCCCCTTTAATCAGCCCCATGCCCCCCTTTTCAGTTTCCTGCCACCCTTTATCAGCCCCCTTAATAAATCCCCTGCCAATTAATGCAATCCATGCCACCCCTTCATCAATCCCCTGCCCCCCTTAATTAAATTCCTGCACCTCTTCAACAAAACCTATTTAATAAAAAAGAAAAAAAAAGTCACTCACAGTAAAGGCTGCTGCTCCCTGGACTGAGCTGTCTCCGCCGATTGAAGAGCACCGGGTGCCGCCTTCACTCACTGAATTGGATCCTTCCGCGGCTCCCTCTGATGACAGAGCACGTCGACGTTACGCAAGTACGCGGCATAACGCCCCCACGCTCCTCCTCCACCCTCCATACAGAAGTGGATTCCCGGCGGCGGCTCTCTGCTCATAATTTGCAAGTCAAGTGCAAAGCAGTATTATGCACTTGACTTGCACTTTAAATACAGAACTCGGCCAGCCTGCGAGCTGTGTTGGCCGCCCGGCGCCCCTGTTGCCATGGCGCCCTGTGCGGCCGCAGAGCTCGCACATCCCTAAGGCCGGCCCTGGATACGCTTCACTTGGACAATGTTTCATGGCTTTTCCGTTTTTTTAGAACTGGATTATGATGTAATTTGCTAAATCTGTAATATAAATTTAAAAGAAAATGAAGCATCTTAGAATAAAGGTTAATTAACACAAGTTATAGGTGATTTTCAATGTTAAATTCAACGACTTAAATTGCAGAGACGTGACTGGTCCACTTTAACACCATCAATGCATTGGCCTGTCCTCAACCTTAAACCTGTAACATCATTAAAAAAAAAAAAACACATGCCATTTTTGTGTTGTCAGCCATGCAGGGTAAACCTATGGAGCCCGACATCAGAAGAATAAAAGTTTGTTCAATGCGCCATGATACTTTTCATGGTGTCTGGAGTCTGTATGTGCTGCACATACAGAGCTTAACCTTAATCTTTGGGAGTCATTAGCCGGCCCAGAGTTCGGGGCTGGGTAATATCAGTCGTGTGCAAAATTGGTGTCTGACACCAGCACACAGCATGGTGGTGCCAGACAGCCAATATCGGCACGGTGTCCTCCTCCATGCTGCCTCTCCCATGTCCTCCCTCCCATGAGGGGGAGTGATGTTAGCCAAGGGTTGAGGGGAGTACTTGTAGGAAAAGAAATAAGTCTAAGCTCTTTCTTTGCTACCATACAGCCCTTCCATGTGTTCAACCCTACCATACACCCAGGGGCGTTTTAGCCGCAAGGCATTTGCCTTGGGCGGCATTTTCCAGGGGGCGGCAAAAAAAGCCGCCCCCCAAATGCCCAGGGCAAATGTCTTGTTAGCCTCGCGGCTAACTGACATGCCTAGCAGGCGGGAGGCGCTGGGCGGGCTGCGCTGGCGAAGGAGCTCTTCCTCTGAGCTGTCTGCTCAGCTCCCTCGCGCGCCGCAGAGTGAGGCTGAGAGCCGGAATATGTCATATCCCGGCTCCCAGCCTCACTCTGAGGCGCGTGAGGGAGCTGAGCAGACCGTTCAGAGGAAGTGCTCCCTCGCTAGCGCAGCCCGCCCAGCCCAGCCCAACAGCCACTGGACCACCAGGGAGAGAGGGAACCCTCCCCCCCCAGCATTCCCAAAGGTAAGGGGGAAGGGGGGTTAAAAAAATAAATGTGTTAATGTAAGTGTGTCTGTGAGTGAGTGTGTCTGTGAGTGAGTGTGTCTGTTAGTGAGTGTGTCTGTGAATGAGTGTGTCTGTGAGTGAGTGTGTCCGTTAGTGTGTGTGTCCGTTAGTGTGTGTGTGAGTGTGTCTGTTAGTGAGTGTGTCTGTCTGTTAGTGTGTGTGTCTGACTGTTAGTGTGAGTGTGTCTGACTGTTAGTGTGAGTGTGTTTGCCTGTGAGTGTGAGTGTGTTTGCCTGTGAGTGTGTCTGCTAGTGTGTGTGTGTGTGTGTGTGTCTGCTAGTGAGTGAGTGTGTTTGTGTCTGACTGTGTGTGTATGTTTGCCTGTGAGTGTGTCAGTGAGTGTGTGTGTGTCAGGGCCGGATTAAGAGCACACTGGGCCTGGTGCTGACAAATATGATGGGCCTAATTACGGAATCTTATCAACCAAAAACACTAAAACAGTCATACCTCCCAAGCGTCATGTATCTGATGGAGATGGTGCTGGAGGGAAACTCAAAGGATGCAGCTATAAGAAAACACATACTCTATGCTAATCTCTCTCTAATTTATGCTTTCATCTTTCAAGTAAATCCATACCCCCTAACAGCAGTGTCCAGTGAAGCAGGAAGTCAATGGCGGGGTAAAAGGGTGGGCCACTGGTGCGAATCACGTGACCAGACCTGCCAAAAGGGGAGAACATGCCCAAAAAGGGGGCATGTCTGTCCAAAGAATTTGAAGGACAACCTGGCATGAATGCATGTCAGGCTGCCCGCCAATCCTGCAGGCTGTCCAACTAAGGGCATACTATGCAGGCAGCACCATGAGCTTGACATAAATGCATCTAATGATGCGCTCACTCCGTGCTTTCTAAGGACTGTCCCCTATCACTCGCTGGTCCACTTGTCACCTTGCCTTCTTACTAGCAGACAGAAGGTCCTGGTATATAGTCTGAGACAGAGAAAAGGTGTATGTAGTGAGTGTAGAAGAAAGGGGACATGCCACAGTTTTAGAGAGATCAGCGTCTGCATTACCTAAACTAATTTTATTGTCAGCTAGTCCACACAAGTTTTGTTCCCATACATCCCTCTTAAGCTTCCAAACTTAAAGGGACACTATAGTCACCAGAAGAACTACAGCTTATTGTATTTGTTCTGATAAGTAGAATCATTCCATTTAGGCCTTTTGCAGTAAACACTGTCTTTTCAGAGAAAATAACTCCACTGGCCACTCCTTAGATGGCTGCTAGAGGTGCTTCCTGGGGCACACTACTGCCTAGTGTGCAGCAATGCCATTCAGTGTATCCACCCTCTGCATGCAGACACTGAACTTTCCTCATAGAGATGCATTGATTCAATTTATCTTTAAGAGGAGATGCTGATTGGCCAGGGCTATGTTGGACTTGTGCTGGCTCTGCCCCTGATCTGCCTAGTTGACAGTCTCAGCCAATCCTATGGGGAAGTTTTGTAATTTGCTCAGACCACCACTTCTGATGATGTCAGCAGACAGGCAATTCAGAGGCAGAGCCAGCAGCTGCAGACCTGAATACAAGTTATATTTTACTATACTTAGGGAGGCAAGAAGGGGCCAGGGTGGTGGTTTTAGCATAATAGGGTCAGAAATACATGATTGTGTTCCTGACCCTATAGTGCTCCTTTAAGCAAGAGTATGTGAAGAGTAGTTAGGGCTGCCACCTTTCTTGGAAAAAATACCAGCCTTAATCATTTGTATAATCACAAAGAGTGACATCAGAGAAAATTCTGTAAAATCAAAAACAAACTACTCACAGTTTGATTCTGCTGTATAGATGGATTGCTCCCAGTGTCTCAGTCTCGCAAGTCACCCAGTGTCTCAGTGTCCCTATGTATCACAGTGTCAGTGTCCCCATGTCGCCCAGTCCCCTAGTCTCCCAGTGTCTCAGTGTCCTCATTTCTCCCAGTGTCCCAATGTCTCAGTGTGTCCCCATGTCACTAGGATACTGGGGACACAGTGAGACATGGGGACACTGAGAGACCCGGGGACACTGAGAGACCCGGGGACACAGAGACATGGGGACACAGAGACATGGGGACACTGGGAGACATGGGGACACTGAGACATTTAGGGAAACTGGGAGAAATGGGGACACTGAGACACTAGGAGACATGGGGACACTGTAACATTTGGGGACACTAAGACACTAGGGACACAAAGACATGGGAACACAGACACTGGGAGACTAGGGGACAGAGGGACACTAGCTGGGAGACAGACACTTGGGAACACTGGGAGACATGGGGACAGTTGTGGACATAGACATGGGGACACTGGGACATATAGAGACACTGGGGGACACTAGGCACACTGAGACACTAGGAACACAGACACTGGGAGACATGGGGACACTGAAACATTTAGGGGACACTAAGACACTAGGGACACAGAGACATGGGGACACTGGGAGACTATGGGACACAGACACTGGGAGACTTGGGGACAGTTGTGGACATAGACATGGGGACACTGGGACATATAGGGACACTAGGCACACTGAGAAACATGGGACACAGACACTGGGAGACTTAGGGACACTGAGACACTATCGACACTGGATGGGGGACATGGGGACACTGGGAGAAATGGGGACATAGTGTCTCCGTGTCCCAATGTCTCAGTGTCTCCCAATGTCACTATGTCTCACAGCATCCCCATGTGTCTCAGCATCCCCATGTGTCCCAGTGTCCCCTAGTGTCTCAGTGTCCCCATGTTTTCCAGTGTCCCCAAGTGTCTCAGTGTTTCCAGGTCTCCCAGTGTCTATGTCCCCATGAGTCCTAGTGTCTCAGTGTCCCCTAGTGTCTGTGTGTCTCAGTGTCCCCATATGTCCCCTAGTGTCTCAGTGTCCCCATATGTCCCCTAGTGTCTCAGTGTCCCCTAGTGTCTCAGTGTCCACATGTGTCCCCTAGTGTCTCAGTGTCCCCATGTGTCCCTGCTGCCTTTCCCCCCCATCCCTCACCTGAGCTGTAGAGCTGCTGTATGAACTCTCTGTGCTGTGTTGCTGCTCCCCCACGGATCAGTAAGTAGTAGAGAGAGGCAGGGATATGCTGTAACTTCCTATCCCTGTCTCTCTCAACACACACAGTGACCCCTACTGGCTGGTGCTGGTATTGCAGAGTAATCTCCATTTATTCTGAGAAAAATACCTGCATTTGTATTGCCGGTATTACTGTGATACCGACACGGCCAGGCAACCTCAAATACCGGCTGTGCCAGTAAAATACCAGTCAGGTGGCAAACCTAAGAGTAGTGTGTAAAAAAAAAAAATTATTATTATTTTTTTTTTTTTAAATGGGCCTATTCCATGGGCCTGGGCCTGGAGCTGCAGCTCCATCAGCCCCTATGTTAATCCGGCCCTGGTGTGTGTCTGCTAGTGAGTGAGTGAGTGTGTGTGTGTGTCAGTGAGTTTGTGTTTCTGTTAGCTAGTGTGTGCGTATCTGTCAGTGAGTGTGTATTTAGAAGGCGGGGGGGAAGGGATGGGTGGGGGTGTGTGGGGGATTAGGGGGGAGAGTTTGGGGGGCGCCTGAGCTTTGTCCTGCCTAGGGCAGCACAAAACCAGGATACACCGCTGCATACACCTCCCTCAAGGTTAAGCTGTATCAACAATATATAATATATACTTCTGCATTATCATTGTCAAGTAACCTGGATGGTGGTGATTGAACAAAATTGGCAATATAGATGTATTAATTCCTTTTTAACAATGTGGCTGAGGACTGGCATTCTTCAAGTGCCAAAAAGAGCACCATGTTTCATTTTTTTTACATCAATAAATTGTGGCCGAGACATCATATTCTAAGCAACATAATCATTATCAACCAACATTATGCAGTGTCCTAAGGGGAGATGCAATCCAAAGCTGGGTAGACTATCATGGGCAGGGGCAGACTGACCACTCGGGGGTTTGGTCATGTACCGAGGGCAGGGCCGGATTAACATAGGGGCTGATGGAGCTGCAGCTCCAGGCCCAGGCCCAGGCCCATGGAATAGTCCCATCTAAAAAAAAAAAAATTTTTTTTTTTTTTTCTTTTTTTTACACACTACTCTTAGGTTTCCGACCTGACTGGTATTTTACTGGCACAGCCGGTATTTGAGGCTGCCTGGCCATGCCGGTATTGCAGTAATACCAGCAATACAATTGCAGGTATTTTTCTCAGAATAAATGGAGATTACTCTGCAATACCAGCACCAGCCAATAGAGGTCACTGTGTGGAGAGAGGCAGGGATAGGAAGTTACAGCATATCCCTGCCTCTCTCTACTACTTACTGATCCGTGGGGGAGCAGCAACACAGCACAGAGTCCAGACAGCAGCTCTACAGCTCAGGTAAGTGAGGGATGGGGACACTGGGGGACACATGGGGACACTGAGACACTAGGGGACACATGTGAACACTGAGACACTAGGGGACACATGTGAACACTGAGACACTAGGGGACACTGAGACACTAGGGGACATATGGGGACACTGAGACACTAGGGGACACATGGGGACACAGACACTAGGGGACACTGAGACACTAGGATACATGGGGACACAGGCACTGGGAGACCTGGAAACACTGAGACACTTGGGTACACTGGAAAACATGGGGACACTGAGACACTAGGGGACACTGGGACACATGGGAATATTGAGAGACACTGAGACATTGGGACATGGAGACACTATGTCCCCATTTCTCCCAGTGTCCCCATGTCCCCCATCCAGTGTCGCTAGTGTCTCAGTGTCCCTAAGTCTCACAGTGTCTGTGTCCCATGTCTCTCAGTGTGCCTAGTGTCCCCATGTGTCCCAGTGTCCCTATATGTCCCAGTGTCCTCATGTCTATGTCCACAACTGTCCCCAAGTCTCCCAGTGTCCCCATGTCTCTGTGTCCCTAGTGTCTTAGTGTCCCCAAATGTTTCAGTGTCCCTATGTCTCCCAGTCTCTGTGTTCCTAGTGTCTCAGTGTGCCTTGTGTCCCCATGTCTCCCAGTGTCCCTATATGTCCCAGTGTCCCCATGTCTATGCCCACAACTGTCCCCATGTCTCCCAGTGTCCCCAAGTGTCTGTCTTCCAGCCAGTGTCCCCATGTCTCCCAGTGTCCCATAGTCTCCCAGTGTCTGTGTTCCCATGTCTCTGTGTCCCTAGTGTCTTAGTGTCCCCAAATGTTTCAGTGTCCCCATGTCTCCCAGTGTCTGTGTCCCTGGTGTCTGTGTCCCCATTTCTCCCAGTTTCCCTAAATGTCTCAGTGTCCCCATGTCCCCATGTCTCGTGTCCCCGGGTCTCTGTGTCCCCATGTCTCACTGTGTCCCCAGTATCCTAGTGACATGGGGACACACTGAGACATGGGGACACACTGAGACATTGGGACACTGGGAGAAATGGGGACACTGAGACACTGGGAGACTAGGGGACTGGGCGACATGGGGACACTGACACTGTGATACATAGGGACACTGAGACACTGGGTGACTTGCGAGACTGAGACACTGGGACACTGGGAGAAATGGGGACACTGAGACACTGGGAGACTAGGGGACTGGGCGACATGGGGACACTGACACTGTGATACATAGGGACACTGAGACACTGGGTGACTTGCGAGACTGAGACACTGGGAGCAATCCATCTTTACAGCAGAATCAAACTGTGAGTAGTTTGTTGGTGATTTTACAGAATTTTCTCTGATGTCACTCCTTGTGATTATACAAATTATTAAGGCTGGTATTTTTTTCCAAGAAAGGTGGCAACCCTAACTACTCTTCACATACTCTTGCTTAAAGGAGCACTATAGGGTCAGGAACACAATCATGTATTTCTGACTCGATTATGTAAAAACCAACACCCTGGCCCCTTCTTGCCTCCCTAAGTATAGTAAAATATAACTTGTATTCAAGTCTGCAGCTGTTGGCTCTGCCTCTGAATTCACTGTCTGCTGATATCATCAGAAGTGGTGGTCTGAGCAAATTACAATACTTCCCCATAGGTTTGGCTGAGACTGTCAACTAGGCAGATCAGGGGCAGAGCCAGCACAAGTCTAACATTGCCCTGGCCAATCAGCATCTCCTCATAAAGATAAATTGAATCAATGTATCTCTATGAGGAAATTTCAGTGTCTGCATGCAGAGGATGGAGACACTGAATGGCAGTGCTGCACACTAGGCAGTACTGCCCCATGAAGCACCTCTAGCAGCCATCTAAGGAGTGGCCAGTGGAGTTATTTTCTCTGAAAAGACAGTGTTTACTGCAAAAGGCCTGAATGGAATGATTCTACTTACCAGAACAAATACAATAAGCTGTAGTTCTTCTGGTGACTATAGTGTCCCTTTAAGTTTGGAAGCTTAAGAGGGATGTATGGGAACAAAACTTGTGTGGACTAGCTGTCAATAAAATTAGTTTAGGTAATGCAGACGCTGGTCTCTCTAACACTGTGGCATGTCCCCTTTCTTCTACACTCACTACATACACTACACTCACTACAAACACTACACTCACTACATACACCTTTACTATATACCAGGTAAGGAGACAAGTGGACCAGGTGTGCTAGGGGACAGTCCTTAGAAAGCACGGAGTGAGTGCATCATTAGATGCATTTATGTCAAGCTCATGGTGCTGCCTGCATAGTATGCCCTTAGTTGGACAGCCTGCAGGATTGGCGGGCAGCCTGACATGCATTCATGCCAGGCTGTCCTTCAAATTCTTTGGACAGACATGCCCCCTTTCTGGGCATGTTCACCCCTTTTGGCAGGTCTGGTCACGTGATTTGCACCAGTGGCACACCCTTTTACCTCGCCCATTGACTTCCTATTTCACTGGACACTGCTGTTAGGGGTTATGGATTTACTTGAAAGATGAAAACATAAATTAGAGAGAGATTAGCATAGAGTATGTGTTTTCATATAGCTGCATCCTTTGATTTTCCTTCTAACACCATCTCCATCAGATACATGACGCTTGGGAGGTATGACTGTTTTAGTGTTTTTGGTCGAGAAGATTCCGTAATTAGGCCCATCATATTTGTCAGCACCAGGCCCAGTATGCTCTTAATCCGGCCCTGACCGAGGGCCCGAGGCAGTCAGGAGCCAAGCTGAACAGCCCCTGCAGATCATCAAGATTGATCTCAGCCAATCCAGTGCTTTCCCATAGAAAAGCATTGCGAGGCGGGTGCACTTTGTTTCCTAGCTGGCCGATGATGCCCCATGATCTGGCCAGAGGAGCAGTGGGGTTAATCTCTGTATGTGCAGTGTTTCATAACTCCAGGTACCAAGACTACTTCCAATCACTGGAACTTGAGCACTACAGAACCCAGTAAAAATAAGACATTATGGCCACAAAATATAGAAGTGAAATTGAGGAAGAGAGAGGAGTTGGACAGCAGCTTCTTTTCAAGTAAAACATTTCTGTAACACTAACCCATCGTGATGATTACACCAGTTTATTATTTACTATCTGAAGGGATTATTCACTAAACTGGAAATTTTGTGAATTGAAACTGAATTGCTAAATTTAACAGTAAAATCCCCAGGCTGGGACTATAGCTGACCCGAATTCGCTTTAGTTGCCTAAATATCCCATTTTGGACTTCAATTCATTACAGTTGGTACGGTTATTTTACTTAATTCCGAACGGCATTGAACAGAAATCTGAATTCTAAACTTTGGGCAAAATAGCTTACCTGGAAACATTGTCCATCTCAACTATAGTCACAACTTATTTTTGTACTATGGATTTCAGTTTGTTCCAGTTCTAAATTCAGTGAATAACCCTGTTGTGGGTTTTGGTTATTTCTTTAAAAAAAATAGTTAGAAAAATTGTTTTTTATCTTTGCTAATTTTAGCACAATTCTACTTGAAGGATGTTTTCTGCAAGATTTGTTAATTTGTGTCATTATGTTTCCTATATTAATGAGTAAGACAATGAAAGCTAAAGTTTGTATTTTGTAATTGTATTAAAACTATTTTAATGTAACTAATATAACTAATGTTTGTATTGGACTTTTTGGTTTTATGGAGGAAAAGAATCTAACCTTTATGAGGTTTAACATCCCTGTGCAAGCCCCCTCGTCCTCCATGGCAATGAGAGTGTTAATTCTCTATAAAACACTTACCCGATTCCGATTGTCTCTGCCTTCACCAACGTCATTGCGAGGGGTATCCTAATGTACATGTGCAGCGAGTAGCATGCACACATAAGGCCTTCCCCATAGGAAAATGCTGAATCAATGCTTTCCTATGGTGGATCGGAAGACACTGGATATACTCATGCAAAACATGATGTCCAGCATCGTTTCACGGAGTTAAATGCTGTCAAACAGCAGGAAGCGACTCTAATGGCTGTCTGGTCAGCCATTAGAGACAGTCTTAACCCTGCAAAGTAAAAATTGCAGTGTTTTTTCGTTTGTTTTTTAAATAAATGTTTTACATTGCAGTGTTAAGGGGACAATAAGATGAAGTGGTCTGGGTGCCTATAATTTCCCTACAGAAGAAAGTACACTAAAAATGTGTGATAGCAGTATGAGTACGAGAAATATTTGGTACCAGATATCTTCAAATGGGGCACTAAGAGTGATTCATACAGGCAAGCCCAGGTTTTAACATCATTATGTAAAAAAACAAGTGTGATTTTGGCCTAATTTTACTATTTATAGATGAGCTTTTCCGTGCTTTAAATCTGTTAGAAAAACTCTTCAAATGTTTTATCTAGAAACGTGACCATTAAAGTATCTGGAAATTTCTCTACCTAAATCATTTGAAATGTTTTTCTACCAGTACTGAATCATTTGAAAATATTAAATCGAAGACCTATGATGGAAAACATTTGTTATGCACACATTTCATTTTTGCGATAAATGTAGCATACCAGATGTGTCCTAGTTTTGTTAGGGCCCCCCATTTAGTATTCCCCTATATACCATAAGTACGTCAATACTTCCCAGATGGTATGTTCTTTCTCAAAAGTTGTTTTCTGCATAAAAAATCTAAATAGTTTATCAATACATTTTCTAACCAACCTGTTGATTTATTTCTCTATACTTGAAATTTAAGCTGACCCATCAACCACCCCTAAATAATGTCTGCATTATTTAACTAAAAACAACAACAAAAACACATATACAGCCCAACGACCGCTGATAACTGTATTACCAAACACGCTTGGTAAAATGTAACATTGATGGCGATAGGATGTTATGTGAGTAATTTTTCATTTTAAATTACTGGATATAATGAAATAGACTACAATGTAACGGGTATATATTTTGAGAAATCTTTAGATATTAAATTCAGAGTTTTACCAGGTATGTCGATCAGTAATGATTAATTGTGCAGCGTCATACTTTGTGACATTTTAGTTATAATCTATGCGTAGCGAGGGCAATGTTCAACATTTCAAAATGCAAAATTCAGCATTTACAAGGAATATATAATTGGTATGAAATAGCCGAGTTTATCTTTGTTCAGCTAATAATATGGAAATAAGAATAGATTTAAACACGGCCTGCAGAATTAATAAAAATAAAGTCTTGCGCACGGTACTCGTAGCCAAAAGCTAATCAAATCTTGCTTGGCATTTAGGAATAGATATGGTCTGCATAAGAAACAAACATTAAATTAGAACAAGAAAGTCGAACCCATAATAAATTCCTTGTATGTGAATTCATATATCTATGGTTAATAAAGTCCTTCCTCTTGTTCGTAGTGCAGGTAGTCCTCGTTTTGCGCCCTACCTGTTCTACGATGGCTTGCAATTTCAACAAGCTCTCTTGTGGGGTGGTAAGTGCGAGCCGTCATGGGATTTAGAGGGATTCCCTGATCTGCTGCGTTCGTCTATGTTCGGGGACATTTCCCCGAACATAGACGAACGCAACAGAGCAGGGAGTCCCTCTAATCTATGTTTGGGCAAATTTCCCCGAGCATAGATTAGAGGGATTCCCTGCTCTTGAACGTTCGTCTATGTTCGGGGAAATGTCCCTGAACACAGACATGTGCACAGGGCTGCCATCAGAAATGTTGGGGCCCCTGACACAGCTCAAGGTCTGGGCCCCCCGGCCCGCCAGTCCGCCCAAAGTGCTGCCCCCCCCGAATCCCATCACAATGGGACATCACAATACCCCACCCATATGATCTGCCATGTTAACTAACACCAGTGCTGCAGTGCCGCCGTGTTTACATTAAAAGGCCTGCAGGGACAGGCTAGACACCAGAACCACTACATTAAGCTGCAGTGGTTCTCGGGACTATAGTGTCCCTTTTAATGTGAGGTAAATTAGAGATTAGTGCCACAAATAATATACTAGATTGCCTACTTACAACCAGATGAGGATGATGATGGGCTCTAGCTGCCGTCTGGCTCCACTGGTCTGGTGTAGAACAGGCTCTCTGGAGGCGGTTTGTAACTGTGGTCACAAAAATCAATGTTCTGGGAGAACGGGAAGTAGCTCCATTTTTTTGAGGGCCCTTTACACAGCTCAAGGTCTGGGTCCCAGGGTCCACCTTTATGTTCCACCAATGAGTTTGTTCACAGGGAGTGGAGTGTGTGTGTGGGGGATGTCCTGATGTGTGTAAGGAATGCATTGTGTGAATCTGTGTTTGTATGTGTAAGGGCTGCAAGATGAGTTTGTGTATGTATGGGATGCAGTGTGTGCGTCTGTAAGGAATGTATTGAGTGTGTGTAAGGGGTGCATTGTGTGTTGCTGTGTGTAAGGGATGCATTGCTTGTGTACGTGTGTCTGTGTGTAATGCATTGTGTGTTTTTCTGTGTGCAAGGGGTGCATTGTGTGTAATGGATGTCAATCTCTCCCCGTCAATTTCCTTCTCCCCCCCTCTCCAATTTCCTTCTTCTCCCCCTCCCTCTCCAATTTCCTTCTTCCCCCCCCTCCAATTTCCTTCTTCTCCCTCTCATTTCCTTCTCTCCCCCCTCAAATTTCCTTCCCCTCCTCCCGTCCCTCAAATTTCCTTCCTCTCCCCGTCCCTCAAATTTCCTTCCTCTCCCCAGATCCCCTCAAATTTCCTTCCTTCTCCCCCCTCCAATTTCCTTCCTCTCCCCCATCCCTCAAATTTTCTTCCTCTCCCCCCGTCCCTCAAATTTTCTTCCTTTCCCCCATCCCTCAAATTTCCTTCCTCTCCCCCGTTCCTCAAATTTCCTTCCTTTCCCCCGTCCCTCAAATTTCCTTCCTCTCTCCCTCCCTCAAATTTCCTTCCTCTCCCCCGTTCCTCAAATTTCCTTCCTCTCTCCCTCCCTCAAATTTCCTTCCTCTCCCCCCTCCCTCCCTCAAATTTCATTCCTCTCCCCCCTCCCTCCCTCAAATTTCCTTCCTCTCCCCCCCCTCCCCTCCCCTCAGGTGCCCCAATCCCTCCTCCCTCAGAGTTTAGAGATTTCCTCTCCCCTCCCTCAAATTTCATTCCTTTCCCCCTCCCTCAAGTTTCATTCCTGTCCCCCCTCCCTCAAATTTCATTCCTCCCCTCCCATAAATTTCATTTTCGCCCCCTCCCTCCATAAATTTCGTTTCTTCCCCCTCCCATTTCATTTCCTCCCCCCTCCCATTTCATTTCCTTCCCCTCCCTCCCATAAATTTCATTTTCTTCCGCATTTCATTCCTCCCCAAATTTAATTTCTTGCTTCCCCCCTCCATTTCATTTCCTCCCCTTCCTCCCATTTAATTCTCCTCTCCCGACGCTTGCAGGCGGTGGCTGGCGGCGGGAGCACTCTCTGTGCTTCCTCTTCGGCTCCCTTTACCGCACTGATGCCGGAGCCGGAAGATGACGTCATCTTCCGGCTCCGGCATCAGTACGGTGCGCGAGGGAGCTGAAGAGGAAGCACACAGATAGTGCTCCCTCGCGCGCCGGCCGGCCGGGTGTCAGCAGGGCCAGCCTCTGGGGGGCCCTGGGGTGTTGACCCGGCTGCTGGGCCCCAGGAGAAGAGGCTGGCCCTGTGGGTACATAAAGGGGTCGCAGGCCCCCTGCGACCCGGTATGTACCCACTGAATGTGGGGCCCGGACGACCTGAGCAGTCCGGGCCCCCCAGGACCGCCGGGCCCATGACAACCGTTGCGGTTGTCATGCCCTGATGGCGGCCCTGCATGTGCAACAGAGCAGGGAATCCCTTAAATCTATGTTCGTGGAAATTTGCCCGAACATAGATTAGAGGGATTCCCTGCTCTGGTGCTTTCATCTATGTTCTGGGAAATTTCCCCAAACATAGACAAGCGCACCACAGCAGGGAATTCCTTAACTCCTCACTTACTGACCAATTCGTTCTACGACCGGTTCGTCGGAATGGAACCTGGTCAGTAATGTATGTACCAAATTTAAGAGTCACGGTAAGCATATTGTGATATATTACCCATACAGATTGAGTTACATATCATGATATATATATATATATATATATATATATATATATACACATTGGGTTAACGGCTCATATAGCCCTTAAATTCATATTTTTGGATAACCTTTTCAAATGATTTCATATTTTTGGATACACTTTTCAAAGAATTTTTTCAAAAGATTAAATTTAGGGGAATCATATAAACAATATCAAAATATTAAAATAGTTTCAAAATATTAAATAATTTTAAAAGTTTATCTAAAAATGTTAAATCATTTAAAAAGCTTATCCAAAAATATTAAATTGAGGACACTGGTATCCATGCATGGTGTGATGAAAAACTCTCTTAGATTTGTCCTGTGGCCACTATGTGTTGGGTCTGCAGACCCCTTAAATTGGTAGAGGGCTGCGATGTACATTACAAATGCCCCATGCGTGTTCAAAATACATGAAAAGGATCCAGCACACAGTATTTCAAATAGTGAGACTCACCTAACGATATCATATATGGGAATAAGACCAAACCATTTGCCCAAACAGTGTTAAAGGGACACTCCAGGCACTCAGACCACTTCTGCCCATTGGAGTGGTCTGGTGCCAACTCCCACTACTCTTAACCCTGCAACTGTAATTAGGGTTAACTCCACCTCTAGTGGCTGTCTACTAGACAGCCACTAGAAGGCACTTCCGTGTCCCTAACACAGGAAACCTGTGCTAGAGCGTCGCTGGACGTCCTCACGCTGTGTGAGGACCTCCAGCGTCGCTCATTTCCCCATAGGAAAGCATTCCTATGCTTTCCTATGGGTAGCGCGCATGCGCATTAGGTCTCCCCGGCCCGTGGGCAGGATCAGTCTCGCCCATCGGCCGACGCAATCACTGGGAGCAGCGGCGGCGGAGGAAGAAGCAGCGACGTGGGTTATTCTGCGGGGGCCCGCAGTGCAACCGTGCCCTCTGGAGTGAATGGCCTGGGTGCAGCTGCGACCCTTTGCGACCACGGTAGTTCCGCCACTGGGTTGGCGTGCCCTTTAACTTACCTGTTAACCACTCTGCCACCGATAGATCATCATTATTGATGATCCCTCTGCCAACCCAATGCTTGTTATAGAGAAACATTGGCAGGATGCATGCTTGGCTGTTGCCGCACTCCAAGCTAGCACAAAGCATGAGGAAGAGCAAGGGTTTTATAAAAGCACCGATTTCTCTTGAAGTCAGCACTTTTATAAAGTGAGGATGAGGGTATGCTCATTTAGTTGACATGCTTTAGGGGTGTGGAGTGTTTCTTTAAGTTGAAGAATACAGCAATTGCTTTAAATGATTTATTTATAAAATATTTTTTGAGGAAGGATACATATAGATTTCTCTTGTTTTCAAATAATTTAAAGGTTGCGAGTTGAAGCTTTAGGGGGCTATTTAAAGGTGCAGTCTAGGTAACCATATTTTGTAGTGGTTATAGTGCCAGGAGGTCCCATGGAGCCATCTCACAGCAATGAGACAAACTGTTTTCCAACAGTTTCCCACTTACCAAGAACCTTCAGATGCCTCTTGTACAGCCTCCATTTCCGCAACAGATATGTCAATTTCATATTATGACATACTTCAGTATCCAAGCACACGCAGAACGGACGTCACTAATATGGAAGGAGAACGTAGAAAATAGTTTAACCATTTACCATTGGACGTCACAGGACTCCTGGCACTACAACCACTAGTTAAGCAATACCGTTCAGAAAAGGTAGAAGATTAAATTTCTTGAAAACCTTCTCAACACACATGGTAAATGCTAAGACAATAAAGGAACTCAGTTCTGGGGCATGCATAAGCTTATCTGAACAATTTCTTATGTGTTTTAGCCAACAATGGCGGTCTCAACATCATTTTGACCTTCTTTATTTCCTACAAAAAGCTCATCGTCATACTCTCCAGAAAGAATAAAGCTATATTAGGCATTTTCCAAGACTCGAAACACTTTGTACATCTTTAAGGAGAGATGTGTATACTTAGCTGATTTTTGCAGAAGACAACATCTTCTATGTCAGAGCAATTGGCAATGCTCACATTCTGCCATTAAATAGCTTGCTGTTGATGTTGTCGTGCTTTTTTTGTGTCAATAAGTTTTCTAAAGAACTAAAAAGTATTGTAAGGAGAGTAATTACAGCAGTGCGCGAATGGCCTGTGAACTGATAAAGCATATCGGTAAGTTAGAGACATGATACACTGAATGGTCTACTCTAACCAATATATTCAGCAATTCTCCGTTTCGGGATGACTTAACGTTAAGGGTGCCGTTTTTGGGGTCATCCTTGGCCCTACTTGCACTATACAATTCCCAGTCAGCCTATTTTGTTTTATATTGGGTTCATTGAAATAATTTTCCAAAACATATTATAATAATTGCAAAACAAATTATAATAATTGCAATTACATTAAGCATTCAATGTGTTGCCTATAATATGTCATTTTATTTTTATTCACTCTGTGCTATCAGGTAATATCTGCAACAATGCTATTTCTGGAGACATTAAAGTAACCTGTTTTGGTGGCAAATAATTTTTTTTTTCCATGACCTGATTAGCAAAGGCCATTATATACGGAGAAAGGTCCCTTATTGCCACAATATTCTATTTTTTATGATGTCGTTTTTTCCTCTTTGCAATGTTGACATTTTTGATCGCAGCGTCTTTGAATTGCTAATTATCTGTAAATTAATGAAATTCTAGCTTTATACATCCTCTTTGAAATGGCTGCATTTTGCAGCATTATTAACATGGATCTGACCTTTGTGAAATATTTAGGACCTCATGCAGACTGATTGCTGGCGCAGAATCAGGGAACGTGAGCTGTGTACTAGATCATTCTCTACAAAAAGAACGAAGAGTCAGTAATACAACATTATCATCTGAATGCAATCTAAAACGATAATACAATATGTATAATATGTCAGGTAAGGTTAAAACCAATACCAAATATCAGGGCGCCACAGTCACTTGTGTGTGTTTGTGTTTTGAATTTTGTGTATTGCCTTTCTGCAAATCAATTTTTTATACATATGATAAATATAAAAATATTCCACTTTCACATTTTTGTATAACAAAACGTAAATAAAAATTACAGAAATGCTTACCTTTCGCCCCACTCAGCTGTTGACAGATGTCCTGGTAAGGGAGGCCGGGGCCATACAGAGATTTTGGACTGCAGACACACATCATTCACCTGCTGATTGAAAGTAACAGGAGATGAACTGGGATGTTTGTTCACACACACTGCAGGAATAATGCAGACTACATTCCTCCCAACATTTACTTTAATTTTAGGGGCGTTAGTGGTGGTGTGACCAGGGGAGGGCTGTTGTGAGAAATTTTAGATGACTTACTAATAATTATTAGAACAATAACAATATATCTTATTTACAGAGACTGTTCTCTAAACACATTTATTGTAGTTTGGACACAAGGCACCCAGACCACTTCTGCCCATTAGAGTGGTCTGGGTGTCAACTCCCATCACCCTTAACCCTGCAAGTGTAATTATTGTCGTTTTTATTATTATTACTATTATTATTGCCATTTATATAGCGCCAACAGACTCTGTAGCGCTTTACAATATTATGAAAGGAGGGATTTAACAATTACAAGGACAATTACAAGAAAACTTACAGGAACGACAGGTTGAAGAGGACCCTGCACAAACAAGGTTACAGTCTATAGGAGGTGGGGTGTAAAACACATTAGGACAGGAAATAGCAATCAAATAAGGTGGGAGTGAGAGAGCAGAGTGCTGCCCTTTAGTAGAGAGCAAGAGACAGGTATGTGAGGTAGAGCTTACTCTGGGAGGCCATAAGCTTTCCTAAAGAGATGGGTTTTAAGGCACTTCTTAAAAGATGCAAGACTAGGGGAGAGTCTAATGGTGGTAGGCAGGCTATTCCATAGGAAGGGAGCCGCCCGCGAGAAGTCCTGCAAGCGTGAGTTGGCCGTACGGGTGCGAACAACGGACAGGAGGTGGTCACGGGCAGAGCGGAGAGACCGAGAAGGGACATACCTATGGATCTGTGAGGAGATATGAGGGGCTAGAATTGTTCAGTGCTTTATAGGTGTATAGGCTTTTGGGAAGACCAATCAGGAGAGGGTTACAATAGTCCAAGCTCCTTGGTAGCATCTTGCGTAAGAAAGGGGCAGATGCGGGCTATGTTTTTAAGATGGAATCTACAGGATTTGGCAACATACTGGATGTGAGGCTCAAAGGTGAGGCCAGAATCAAGTATGATGCCAAAACAGTGTGCTTGCAAGGATGGACTTATGTGGATAGAAACATAGAATGTGACGGCAGATAAGAACCATTCGGCCCATCTAGTCTGCCCAATTTTCTAAATACTTTCATTAGTACCTAGCCTTATCTTATAGTTAGGATAGCCTTATACCTATCCCACGCATGCTTAAACTCCTTTACTGTGTTAACCTCTACCACTTCAGCTGGAAGGCTATTCCATGCATCCACTACCCTCTCAGTAAAGTAATACTTCCTGATATTAGTTTTAAACCTTTGTCCCTCTAATTTAAGACTATGTCCTCTTGTTGTGGTAGTTTTTCTTCTTTTAAATATAGTCTCCTCCTTTACTGTGTTGATTCCCTTTATATATTTAAATGTTTCTATCATATCCCCCCTGTCTCGTCTTTCCTCCAAGCTATACATGTTAAGATCCTTTAACCTTTCCTGGTAAGTTTTATCCTGCAATCCATGAACCAGTTTAGTAGCCCTTCTCTGAACCCTCTCTAAGGTATCAATATCCTTCTGAAGATACGGTCTCCAGTACTGTGTACAATACTCCAAGTGAGGTCTCACCAGTGTTCTGTACAATGGCATGAGCACTTCCCTCTTTCTACTGCTAATACCTCTCCCTATACAACCAAGCATTCTGCTAGCATTTCCTGCTGCTCTATTACATTGTCTGCCTACCTTTAAGTCATCAGAAATAATCACCCCTAAATCCCTTTCCACAGATGTTGAGGTTAGGACTCTATCAAATATTCTTGTAACGAGAATATACCCCAACACGCAGGATTCAGCAAAACAAAAGACAACACAGAGGAGAGATACGTCTACTGGACCTTAGAATGGCCGGACTCGACGTATAAGAGAGGAGACAGAGTCAGGAATGATCCGAAATCAAGGGCACAGAGAGACAGCGTAAACTGGGACAAGCCGGGGTCTGGTACACAGTAAACAGCAAGCCGACAACCAGAACAGAAGGATAAAGAGAAAACGTAGTCAGAAACAAAGCCAAGGTCAATACGGAGAAACACAACTGAACACAACAAGCGCTAAAGGGAACTGATACAGAAACCACGATAGGGCAAGGAACAAAGGGAAGAAGGTGAGTATAAATACCTAAACATCTAATTTGATTGGTCCCTGTCACATCCACGCCCCCAAAAGGCAAGTGTATGGGGAGTGTGGCATGACAGGGACCAATGGGATGCCTTTTCCAATTTAGGCACCCACTGTCCTTTTAAGAGCGCGCCCGATACCCGCGGCGCACTCTTAGAGTTAGGTGGAACACGTGACCGCTTTCCAGTTACAGCGGTCGGCTGAGCCGCGCGCGGCTCGTGCAGCAGCAGGACCGCGCGCGGCTCGAACAGAGGACCCCGGCCGGCCCCTGGAAAGGGTAAGTACCGCTACAATTCTGTACTCTGCCCTTGGGTTTTTACGTCCAAGATGCATTATCTTGCACTTATCCACATTAAATGTCAGTTGCCACAATTCTGACCATTTTTCTAGTTTACCTAAATCATTTGTCATGTGGCATATCCCTCCTGGAACATCAATCCTGTTACATATCTTAGTATCATCAGCAAAAAGACATACCTTACCATCAAGACCTTCTGCAATATCACTAATAAAAATATTAAAGAGAATGGGTCCAAGTACAGATCCCTGAGGTACCCCACTGGTGACAAGTCCAAGCTTCGAATATATTCCATTAACTACAACCCTCTGTTGCCTGTCACTCAGCCACTGCCTTACCCATTCAACAATATTGGAATCCAAACTTAAAGATTGCAGTTTATTGATAAGCCTTCTATGTGCAACAGTGTCAAAAGCCTTACTGAAATCTAGGTAAGCAATGTCTACTGCACCACCCTGATCTATAATTTTAGTTACCCAATCAAAAAAATCAATAAGATTAGTTTGGCATGATCTCCCTGAAGTAAACCCATGTTGCTCTGATCTTGAAATCCATGTGTTTTTAGATGTTCATCAATCCTATCCTTTAACATGGTTTCCATCACTTTCCCCACTACTGAAGTAAGGCTTACTGGCCTATAGTTGCCCGACTCCTCCCTGTTACCTTTCTTGTAAATGGGCACAACATTCGCTAACTTCCAATCTTCTGGGACTACTCCTGTTAACAATGATTGGTTAAATAAATCTGTTAATGGTTTTGCTAGTACATCACTAAGCTCTTTTAACAGCTTTGGGTGTATTTCATCAGGTCCCATTGACTTATTTGTCTTTACTTTTGACAGTTGAAATAGAACCTCTTCCTCTGTAAACTCACGTGTAATAAATTACTAATTTATCCTTTTTCTCAACTGAGGTATGTGGATACCACTAACTTGAAGGGAGAGCGAAAGAGGAGGGTCAGTATTAGGAGGAGGAAAGACAAGGAGTTCAGTTTTAAAGAGACTGAGTTTCAGAAAGTGTGAGAACATCCAGTCAGAGATGGAAGAAAGGCAAGCAGTTACACGTTGCAGGACGGTAGGAGAGAGGTCTGGGGAGGAGAGATATATCTGGGTGTCATCAGCGTACAGGTGGTAGTGGAATCCAAAAGAGGTAATAAGTTTGCCAAAAGAGGCAGTATAAAGAGAAAATAGAAGGGGACCAAGGGCAGAGCCTTGGGGAATCCAACCGAGACAGGACGAGGGGAGGAGGTATTAGAAAAGGAGACACTGAATGATCGTTGGGAGAGATAAGAGGAAAATCACGAGAGGACAGAGTCACAGTGACTGAGTGATTGAAGAGTTTGAAAAAGGAGAGCATGTTCAATGGTGTCAAATGCAGCAGAGAGGACAAGAAGAATTAGTATGGAGTAAACTGCATTACTTACCTTGCAGGGTTAAGTCCCCCTCTAGTGGCTGTCTATCTATCAGATAGCCACTAGAGGGACTTCCGGCTTCCTAAAACACAAAAAGTATGCATGAGGACCTCCTGCGTCGTCGGAATCCCCACAGTTAAACATTGAATAATACCGCGCATGCGCATTAGGTCTACCCCACCGGCTGACTGCGGGGAGGTGCGGGGACGGAGCCTTACCCAGCGCCGAGAGACATCGGCGTTGGATTCAGGTAAGTCACTGAAAG